CTTTGAAAAGGGCAAAACCTGCAGGAGTTTCGAACAACACCAACATTTTTCTGCCCTCAAATTTTCGCCCTTTTTTTCACTATACCAAAAATCAACAATAAACCCAGAACAAATTAATACTTAGCAATTGATTAATCAGATAAAATAGAAGCATACGTATGAAAATTGAAGAGGGTGGAGAAGGAGGCTTACCCTATCAGAGAGGAGAGAGAAAATGGTGAGAAGAAGAGTGAGGACGATGAAACTGGAATTAGGGTCTTGTGAGGGTTTTAGAGAGGCGACTCTCTTTTTAAATAGACTACCTCTTTTCTTTTTGGGTCGGGTTACCCGTTTTTAGGTCAAATCTAGTGTCTCTATTTTTTAATTCTCTCTCTCTCTCTCTCTCTCTCTCTCACACACACACACAAAAAAAAAAAAAAAAAAAAAAAAAAAAAAAAAAAAAGTGGTTAATAGGAATGTGTTAGAGAAAATTACTTGATTTATATGAAGAAAAAAATTAGACATGAAATTAAAGAAAGTCGATATACATTTTAGTTATTGGTCATGCAAATTACTGGATTTTGAAATAAGAAAGAAAAGTTGTTTTCGTTTGAAGATAACACTAGCTATGTAAAACATCTTTTCTTTCTTTTTGGATACTGACATCTTCTGTTTCATTTGTGAATGTATAACACATGATTGTAACTGCAACTCTTTCTACCTTTTTTAATTTCAGATCTTGTTAAACATACTAATATGTAATTCGCATTTGATTTGTATTTATATACTTAGGGTTATTTTGTCTACTTTGGATACAATTTAGAGTCTCATAGTCGTCTACAATATAGAGCTAGAGTAAAGAGGGGTGACACATGTCGTACGTAGTGAGTACATGGTGGTTTCGGTGCTTCATTGTGCCTTTATAACATGCGATTCTCATTTACTGTGACGATTTGAATGTTAAGTAACTCTATAATTAACTCGTTTACCATTAATACAACAGGATACATTAACAACCTCGTTAAGGAAATGTTCCTCTTAAACATTTTTCAAATGTTGTAACTTCCTTGACTAGTTATTATATATGATTTTCGATCCCATTCGATCTAAAGGTTTGCGTTTCACTTACATCTCACTAAGACTGTCCATGAAATAATAGTATTGGCAGATTTACGAGAATAGACTTCTACATAATGAAAAGTCACAGTCCAATTGTCTCGACTATCATTATGGGGTGAATTATTGTCACCAATTGATAAGTGTTTTATTTGTCCACTTATCATGGCATTATTTTTAACACAATTTTGTAGTTATTTTCCCCTCTTTAACCGCTTCCCTAACTCCTTTTTGTGCAAGATTGTAGCTTTTGGTGTTTCCTTTCCTCTTGTGTGTTTGCTCGTGTTTATAGGTACAAAGACAATGTGAAGAATTAGCTTAGGCTCGAAGACCTTTACAAGGAGCCCACCAAGCTTAGGAGTGGACACACTCAACTTCAAGAGCGAGCACTCCTAATGTAGGCACTATAATTTGCCTTGTTGGCTTCCAAGAGGAACTGGCGCGCATCAAAGGAGGAATGCATGAGGCTGCCCGCTCCTGCTTCGTTTACCCGTCTTTTTGGGTGGATTTTAGAATGTAATTTTTGGGTGTATAAATACGACCTTTCGCTTGGCTTCATTTTTATGGATCTTCTTCCCTAAGTTTTTCTTAGACCCTTATCTCTTAGTTATTTGCCCAAACTCTCATTAATTAGCTTAGTTTATCTCAAACTCAATCATTGAAGTAGATTAATTGAAGTTTGTATTCTCAATTTCAACAATTCTTCTCGACATTGAAGCTTTATTTAGTAATCTTTATCTCTCACTCTTGTATTTTCTATTTTAATTACTTTAAATTATTTATTTCTCACTTAATATTGTTTAATTGTTGTCGCATGTTCAATCTACTTCCATCTTATCAATCCCTTCAACTAACCTGTTAGATTAGTGCTAAAATTAGGACTTGTTTCTATGTTGTTCTTCACCATGATTAGTGAGTAGTTAATTAGCTAGGGGCTGAGAGAAGACCCACCTAAGCCATGAGTTAATTGATATTAGTGCTTACATGTTTATTTTGGGTTGATGATTAATTGTTAAAGAATTGGTTAATTGCATTTGTAATTGGATGATCACTTATTGCTCATATATTCACTTCTATGCCTGCATTGAAAGATGGAGTTTGGTTGTGAACCTTTTCCTATATAATTAACTGAAATTCTATCTTGATTATTACAGTTCCTTGTTTTGATGGTGTAGTAGTCTTAATTGTGATAATTAGGTGAACAATCCCAATTACTTGTGCCTTAATGCTATCTTGGACCGATCGAAAGAAAAACCCGAGTTACTATTGTGACTTGGTTGGCCTATCATGTTAGTTGAACTTGGTGTAGGAATGCTTAGTGTTGTGGCTTCAAAAAAAGACAATATTGAGTGTCCCTTTCTATCACCCAATTTGTGCTCATGCTTGCCTATTGTATTGATCTATTGGTTTGATTGGTGTCAATTCTCAATTCCCGGTAGTGTTTGTCCCCATAGTAGTTAATTAATCAAAACCGTACCCCCAATTTGTGACCGAACTAGATTACAACCATTTCATATTCTCAGCTCGGTGTACTCATACCCATTTCATGTGGATACGATCCTTTATTTTCCCTAAACTTGTCTTAGGTTAGCTTAGGTAGAAATAATGTTTGGCTTAGGGTGATTGTCCAATAACGACCTACTTTATCCCTCTACCACCAATTGCATTTGTAGTATTTGGAAATTTAATACAATTTTTTAAATTTTGGATCTTTTAAATTTTACCATTCAATTGTAGTCCATTAGAATTTTTAAAAATGGATTTTATATTGATCCCATTAAATAATATTTGGAAACAATCACTGAATGGTAATCATGCCTCATATGAAGCCTTTGGCCACCTTACTTATCTATTCAATTGTCTATAATATGTGGAGCAATTTTGAATTTTTGAATGACACTATATTGGAATTAAATGACTAAACTATTAGGAGTTAGAGCAAAACATAACATTGCAAACCCATCATGCAACATATAAGCCAAACTTTATGGAGTAAAAAGAATGTTCATCAATCAAAAGAACAAAAATTAATATATTCCTGCACGAATAAAGATATAGTTTTGTGCTACTTTACTACACTTGCACTTTGATACATCGGGTGCATAACATAATTGACACCTTAAGCCCTGTTCACTTCATTTTAAAAAAATAATATTAAGTAAAAATAATTTCAGTTCACTAAAAATAAGTGAAGTTCAGTAAAAATAATTTCAGCTCAGTAAAAATAAGTTCAGTTCAGTTAAATTAAAGAAGAATTATAATAGAAAATCAGTTAAAATAATTTCAATTTAGCAATAAGTTCAGTTCAGTTAAATTAAAGAAGAATTATAATAGAAAATCAGTTAAAATAATTTCAATTTAGCAAAAATAATTTCAGTTCAGTAAAATTAATTTAAATTTAATAAAATTAATTTTAATTCAACAAATATTATTTTATTTCACTAAAAATAATTTCAGTTCAACTCTAATAAGTTGTCTTGAAACGCAGGCTACCTCAAGTCCTCAAAGGCCCCTAATATCAGCCATCTAACCTTAGATTGTTATGGGCCAAGCCTATAACACTCAACCACGTAAGTTAAATTCAAAGGCAAAGCCCATCAAGCTCTTCTTCTTGTTTATTTGAAACAAACTCTACTGGTACCAAAGTTTTTTGAAAACATTATTACGTAGTAATTTTAATCATCTATGATCTATAATATTTATTTAAGAAGAATAGAATGTGCATGCAATTTTGGCATCAATCACCCAGGGCCGTCCCAACTATTATGGAGGTCCTGTGTAATTGAGATACATTTGGGCCCCCCCTTTTTTTAAGTAACGTATAGTAATATTGCTTTTTTTTTTTTATTAAATGCTCCGTCATGATTTATTTGTTGAAAAGGTTTAGAATAAAGAAATATATGTAATTTTTGTAATACTATTGAAGAGATCAAAATATGTTGAAAAGCAAAAATAAAAATAAGTTATAAAAGTATTTACGGGTTATTGTAAAGAGGAGAGAGAATGGTAATATTTTCTAAAAATGAAATTGAGTCAAGGGACCATTATTGGGGATAAAAATATAAATATTGTTACAATCTTTCAAAATATAGGAATGGAATTAAAAAAAAAAGACTAAAATGAAAAAAGGCTCGAACCGCGCATCTACAAAACTTAGTATCACCATACTTACCACTAACCCACAACAATAACACTAGAAATTTGTACAACAATTTTGTATATAATTGTAAACTTTGAGGCCCCAAGCGATTTTGGGCCCTGTGCGGTTGCGCATGCCGCACACCCTAAGGGCCGGCCCTGAATCAACCCAACCACCATTTTCTATATAGGAATGTTTTAATTTAGATACATCACTTTTCTTTTTAGTTGATAAACTATATTTATATCTTTCCTATAACATGAATTGAGCTGAACTGAACTGAACTGATTGAAGCTGAACTGAACTGAACTGTGTTGAAATGAATATTTATGAGAGAGGGAAATTAGGAGCTGAACTGAACTAATTGGAGCTGAACTGAAGTGAAATTAAGTAAATGTTAACAGGCTCTTAAGTTAGATATTAAGCAATATTTGACTGAGATTGGAATTTACTTTATAACCTTGAAGCCACAAGATTGAAGCTTTTTAATTGCTATACTTAAGGGTGAGGATCTCTTACCCTTTACTTCCAAGTTTCAAGTGACTGATATATAGGACTAAGGTTGAACGTAAGAGGTATATATGAAGATTGAAGAAGATGAGCTAGTGTGTATTGGACAGGTTAATATCTCTCTGACCATATTTATGGTCTATATATTCATTTCAACTTTTCAAGAAGGCAAAAGAAATTTATTTGGGACTCATTGGAGATAAAGTACAATCCCAAAACATGGGTAATATAAACTTCATTTAAAATACAATGATCATGCTACAAAGGTACTAACTTTATTAAGTAAACATCAAATTATTGACTACTAATATTAAATACATTAAACACCATAATATGACATCTCATAACACCATTTACAACAACATCAATGAGGGTGACAATTTAGATAATGGTGAAACTATGTACTAATTCTCCTCAATAATCAATATGACACATTTGGTGTCAATGCTTCAATAATATTTTCAATTAATTACATTAACATTTTCTTAATCTTTTTATGATAGTCAAAATGGGGATGTTCTTTGTTACTAATATGTGTAGTAGCCGGGTTTTGCTTTGCTCCATTTGTGCAATGTATTGCCAAAGATATCAAAGAAGGCTATATCGACTCGAGTTCGAGTCACTTGCATTGACATAAAGCCTTGGCCATCATAATACAACTTCAACTCCTCCGGGTTCCATTCCTTTTCATCGCCCCTCCATGACTTCGAGCCACCTCCACTAGTCAAAAACTCAATTTCACTACATATTGAACAATAGCATCATTAGTACTTTATTAAATTTCTCTTGTAAATTTTAATTCGTGGTATATGGTCCATATTGACAATGTGGTTGATGCAAAACCTGATCCAACAAGCTTATTGGCCCATTTTTGATCTAAATATCCCCACCACAAAAACAGAATTTGATACGGAGTATATGAATCAAAAATTAGTTAAACTTGTTAAAGTTAGGATAATTTTGAAAATTGACAGCAAAAAAGTAGAAAATTCCTTTTTTATTTAAAAAAAAAATAGAAAATTCCTTTTTCCTGTTTTCGGTTTTTATTTAAAAAAAAAAGAAAACTGAAAAAAAAATGCCAAATAAGTGCCTAAATTTCGAATCGGATATAAAATATTCTAAAGTTGCGATTGATATGAACCGGAGGTAGGATTAATTCATTCATTGTCATCATTATTAGGGTTAGTCAATATCAAATTGTGGGACATAATATTGTATTGGGGGCCACTATCTTCATAACAGATCAATTAGCATTTGATGCAAGAGAGAAGCCCAATAGCTGTCAAAATTATGGCCCTACATTTCATCATTATACTTATTTATACACCAACAAGAAACAACGACGTAAAACAAAAGCACTAAGATAGGAAATTACCTGTCTGGGCTACTAATGTGCTCCAAGCAATGGTCATGCCCATTGATGTAAAGATCAACGTTGTTTTCCTGCGAATTCATTAAATTTTTAAATAATGTGTTAAACTCTTACCCCACGAAAAAAGGTTCGATGAGATAGACAAGTTTTAAGTTATTATAAACTATCGTGTGTGACATTTAGTCACTTATGGAGTATTTATTTCACGGGTACAATTATAGTTATAGGTACTCAATTCACAACCTAATAGGGTTAAATTAGGTTAATATGTAATTCGCTTTATTTGAATTGTATAGGAATTAATAACAGTAGAATAGTAGACAATTTTACCTCTAGTATTGGGAGAAGCTGAGCCACAAGCTCCTCAGTGTTACCATGATGTCCAGCACTAAATACTGGATGATGACCAATCACAAACTTCCACTTGGCACTCGACTTCTTCAATGCCTCATCCACATCCTGTAACATTAGTAACAATGTAACATTATGCCTAATAAGGAAATTCAACTTCTTAAGGATGACCTAGACTCGAACCCTTAATGTTAACTAGACTATCACGAAAATCTCAAAGCCCTTAACTTTAAGATCTTTATGTAATGATTTAGGGTACGTACTATGTAGTATCTCTAATTTGATTTAATTGTTACGTTACTAGTTTATAGAATAAATACCTGCAAAAGATTAGAAAGATATCGTTTTCGTGGTAATACACCTCTCCAGTCATATGTATGTTTGTCTTCTACAAAGTATTTGTCTTGAAATGGAGTTGTATCCACAAAAAAGAAGTCCACAGTCTCTGCTTAACCAAAAACAACAAATTTTAAGAAAATTTATTTCTGAAGTTTCGTAGTAAATTACACAAACAAAAAAACTTTTAGAATATGGTATTTATTCACCTGATTTGACAACATAAGATCTTAGGGAAAACCATCTGCTGTCTCTTTTTCTAAGAATTGGGCTTAAATGTGCTAGAACATCTCCTCCGTAGTCATGGTTTCCAAGCACTAAAATACCAACAACAATAAATATTTAGCATATGACATTTTATTAAACATATAAATCCTATAAAAATTGTTAAGGTTTGTTTATCCCAAAGAAAAAACAATATTCTATTTTTTTTTCTATTTTTTTTCGTACTTTAAACTTAAGGAAAATACAAGTTAATCTGCCATATAAACGAATTTTTGTTAATCTGATAACATTTTTGTAAATATATTGAAAAAACAAGGTTATTTATTCAGTACTTTTGGTGAGTTGTCCAATTACTGTTTGCTTTTCGCTTTTACTGTTTGGTGAGAAAATTACACATGTACCCCTCAACCAGTACATGAAAAGACGCATATACCCCTCCACTGGTACATGAAAGACAATTGACTAGGTATTGCTCTTAAACTTATAATTGGTGATAAGATACATTAAAGTAAGCTCTTGTCTAAGCTAAGACTATAGCCTATAGATACATCTTACGACAATTCGTCTATTCACAACCCTTCTAATAGAATCGAACCCTTTCATCCTAGTTCGGAGAGGGAAGAGGGATAGGCCAACCGCCAACCAATGGTCCGTTAGTCCTTCTCTAAATTTAAATCGTTAATAATTGTACGTGTTTAGTTTAAAAATAAATAAAAAAAAAATTTACCATTGTACCAACGCTTTTGTAAGCTAGGGGCAGTATAAATGTTTGAAAATGATTCTTCAAAATTAGGATCATGAACACCAGTCAGTCCATCGTCGTAGAAATTGTCTCCTGTTGATATAATGAAATCCACATCCAATTTCTCCCCAACTATGCCCATCTGTCAACGATAATAATTAATTTAATTGATTTTTTCAACACTCCATAATAATATTATACGTCATTAAATTGGAGCATTTAGCTCAACTATTAAAAATAATAAGAAGTAGATCACATGGAGTATTTTTTACTACTCACAATTAAAAATATACTAAGGGCATGTTCACGTTAGCTTGATTTCAGTCCACTTCAGTTCAACTACTAATTTATTTATCTCATAAAATATTCATTTCAACTCAGTTCCAATCAGTTCAGTAAGTTCAATTCAGTAAATGTGAACAGACCCTAAGTACTAAATCAGACAATTCTGACTCGACTCGTGACTGAAAAACGTCAATCCGAAATTGATCTAACTCGACCCATATCCGAATTGACCTACCTAATCTGAACCCAACCAAAAAATTGATTGACCCAACCCAAACTAACCCGACCCATACCCAACTCAAACAACTCGTTTGCCAAGTCTATTAAAGACCTGTTCTCTTTAGCTTATTTTCAGTTCAGTTGATCTCCAATAAGTTAAGTACCTGTCAAAAAAAGAAAAAAAAAAAGTTAAGTTCAGTTCTTAATTTCCTTCCCTCATAAAATGTTCAGTTCAGCTCCAATAAATTCAATTCAATTCAGTTCAGTTCATCTCACTTTAATAAATCAGAACAATCCAAAATAGTCTAATTTTTTAAAATCTTTTGAGATTGCACAAAAATAGCTAATGTAAGAAAATTAAAATTAGGGACGAAAAGAGTATCCCAAAGGATAATCTCTGAGAGACAAATACAACAAACAAAACTCGATATCCCAAAAATATAACGTGAGCATAAAGCGTGGAAACCAATTTGAGAATGTGAAAAACCAAGTCTGAAACCACGAGTGCTAGTAAGTAGTAACCAAATAACACACATATGAAACACGATATAAGGCAAGTTCAACAACTTCAACTAACTTTGTTTTTTTCAGGTATTACTACAAATACAACCTTGACAACTGTAATTGCATGATTAGCAAAAAAAAACACTGTTTTCTCTCTCTTAAACAAGTTTTGTGTTGGACATAAGAGGACGATTCTAGCTTCTAATTTCAGCATATTAAATTGTTTAATTAATTACTGTTATTATTCCTTAATTATGATGGAATATGCTATATGATGTGGACAATAAGTTAAGTTATGATTTGAGTTGTCCCTTACGCTTAAGCAATCTAAGAGCATCAAAGAATCTCATCCAATTATCCTCAAATTATCCCATTTTTCATCACTTGTGTTTGCAAACATTATTATTATTATTATTATTATTATTATTATTATTATTATTATTATTATTATTATTATTATTATTATTATTATTATTATTATTATTATTATTATTATTATTATTTATTAAAACCAAATAAATAAATGTACAAAAAAAAAACCTTAAATAAGTTAGAAATAAATTTAAAGGGAATATTTAGAGCATAAATCCACTCAAGTCACCTTTTTAAAAATAAAATGTTAATTATGGCCATTTTTTTTCTAAGTTGTAAGCCAAGTTCAACTCTCTTCGTTCTCTCTTACTTTATCACGACTATAATTTATATGAATTAAATAACACAAAGCATTTTATAATTTTCATAATTTACGAGTTTACGTACATACCTAATCAGAATGTTAAACTACATTTAAGTAATTAACATAAAGTAAATTATTAAGACATACATACATGATGAAGTAATGGTTTTAGATTAACTAAAGTAACACTCCATTTTATGAATTAAAATAGAAGATCAAGCTATTAAACTTAATTTGTCTACATATATAATCCTTTTAATTTATACGACGAATCTTGTCAAGCTAACTACTATATATTATGTTCTTTTAATAGAAGGATAAAGTAATAAATCAACACAAATTAATTAGTGTTAATTACCTGATTAGCAACAAGAGTTTGATTATAAGCACCTTTCCTTCCCCAATCACCAACAACCAACAAGCTAAGAGATCCATCTTGTTTGGTAGCATGTTTAAACTTGGGAAGCTTAGCATTAATTAATTGACCATTAAACACCATTAATATAGTAAGTATGATTAGTATTGTGTTGATGAATTTGTAAGTGGCCATGGCTAGAAATGAAGCTAGTTTCTCTCTCTAAGATGATAGGAGAGAGAAAGAAGCAGAAAGAAGGGACCTTGATTCCTTCAGCTGGTTGGTTGAGATTTAAGGGCCATGTCTTTCCTTTTATAGTGAGTGAGTGTTTTGCATGTTTTTTTTTTGTTTTTCTTTTTTCTTTTGCATGCTTCATGTGTTGTAAAATCCCAATTAAATTTAATTAGGATATAGGAAAATTATACTACCCATTAAATGTTAGGTGCAACTTGGGATATTGTTTGTGAGATATAAAATATTCTAAAGTTGCACATAACATTTAACGGAGATATTATTATTATTATTACTAGATTAGGCTCGTGCGATGCACAAGTTTAACAATAATTTATGATTTTAACAATATCTTTTACCTTATTTGTGTGTAATATGTACGTAATACAAATATTTTAAGAAAAATCTAATAAATTGATAAATTAATAAAGAGTGGACACCCCAATTCATATAATCTATATAAAATATATGGAGTAGGAGAAAAAGATACTCCGTAATGTTTATAAGAAAATGAAATAGTCCGACCTTCCTTTAATTCTCCAATGAAAATTGCATAATTAGTCAATTCAAATATAAAATCTATTAGAAAAATATATAATTAATTTAGCATTTTCAAATTTTTATTTATGTTGATAAAAAAATTAATGATGTCATTACTAGTTTTGGAGTGAAATTTTTTTACAAGAAGTTGACATGTGGAAAGTAATGACATCAGCGGTAATTAATTTAGTTAGATTTATAGATTATTATTATTATTATTATTATTAGAAGTCTTGAAACAACAATTAACTAGTTGGATGTAACTATGTTAAGAGTTGCTTCATAAGGTGATTAGACGGATTACGTATGATTGTATGAATAATGTAGTGATGTGGATCTCATCAGATAATAAGACTAGAAATAATTTTGCAAAATTATTTTTGGTTTGCATTTATTTGGCATATAATAATTTCAAACGTCAAGCAAAAGCTAACTTGTTCTCTCTATGGTTTTCTCCCTTCTCTTCTAAATAAAGCTACTTAATTTATTTGTTGAAATTTTTATTTGTTTATTTGTTCATGCTTATTATCATTTGAAAGGCTTAATAAATTAATATGAACGCAAGATAGCATATGAAAAAAGTTACCTTTAGATGCACTTTTTCTTTTAAATTTAAAAGTATCTTTTATACAACAAATTAAACTGTAATGAATAATTGTTGTACACCTTATCATAAAAATATTGAAAATAAATCTTACTTTAATTGTTTATATTGTCTAAACTTATTTTTAAATTACAATAATCGAACCTATTTATATACGTGTCACAATATGTTTCATATATGACTAGGCCGGACTCGTAAAAGAGGAAGAGCATCCACGCATAACGCATGTATAACTTTATTATGGAGTTTAGTTGAATATAGAAAGATTTAAATTAAATTAAATAAAATAATTATATTAATAAAAAAATCTTTTTATGTTAATGTGTATCCATAAGACCATAAGCACACGTCAAAGAAAAGATCTCTTCAAAAATAGCAAACGAAGAGGAAGAGGAAGAGGAAGAGGAAGCATCCTACCATCACTAAATAAATTCTAAAATAGAAACATATGATAATATTATTGTAAAAAAACATAGCAAAAATAGTTGATTGGCTTCCTAAAAATAAATAAATAAAATAGTAGATTGGCAATGCGTTGTCGACATATAATTGGAAGATAGAAGCACATGGAGTTGGAAAGATACAAGTATGTTAGTATAGTTGGCTAGTTAAGTTGCCCATGTGAAATTCTTGTGAATATTATTTGTTCCATTAATCATATATATGAACTCTTTTGGATGTTTTATGTATAGATTCTTGTGAATATACTAATAATGGTAACTCATTCATCATCTTATTTGATTTGGATAAAATGAGTATTTAAAGGAAATGCAATAATGTTGTAATCTTGATGTTTTTGAGTTATTGAGTATGGAGGATTTTTGGATACTTGTTATAAGACAATCATCATTCAACTGGCTTATCCAGAAATCCAGCAATCTTCTCATTTGTGTAATAAGAGCAAAACCGATTGCGATTTGCTCATTTGTGTGATTGAGCAAAAGCCACAAATGAGCAAAAGCAAAATTTGAAAGAATATCGAGCTGTCTTATTTCGAGTAGGTTTTTGAGTAAACGAGTACAGAGAAGTTTTGCAAGGTCACAGTGCATAAAAATAACTATTGAAATGGGAGGTCACATTGAAACAAAACAATGAGCAACAATTTGTTTTATTTATCTGAATTGCAGTCTCATCGTGAATCATCGACATACCTACAATTTTGAAACTGCAAAATTTATAGCAATTCTAACATGAATCTATACTACCTAAGTTATATGCCACTATTCTATATTTCAAGGTTTCCCAACTTTGATTTAATAATGGAAACATCACCGGTACTATTATTCCTCGTGTCATCACTTGATTCTTCCTTCTGAGTGGAGCTTGTCGTTCTTCTAGGTGGGGCAGCAGAACACACCGGCACAACTGATCTGATTTGTACAGCAGGTGCAGTAAACTGTGATCGAAAACCCCCAGTTTGCATTCTTCCAAATCTAGGTCTCACAGATGAACCCACATCACTTTGCATTCGTGGAGCAGTAATCGGAGTTCTAGCATTCCTACGAGTAGGTCCCACTGGAACGCCTTGTGAGGCTGTTGGCAAAGCCTTTCCTGTATATCCAGGGTGGTTTGAGGTTGCAGCATGGCTAAATCTAATGTTAGGCAGCCTTGACGATTCAAATGTGGGCAGTCCGTTTTCTGGGACATCCACTGAAGCTGAGCTGACATTATTAGCTTGAGCTAAACTGTCCTGTTTGGCTTCCTTTTGAAGGTTTTCATTTAACACATCAGCACTATTGCTGTTGGGAATGGGAGCTTTTAAGGGCTCTGGTGGACAATGCTTAGAAGAATTTTCTGGTTTTTCCTCTTGTATCTCTTGAATAGCCACCATTGACCTAGCTTTCATCGGATCCTGCACTATGTGGTTCGAGAAGTAGACGGGTGACCTGACTGTACACATTGAGATTCCAGGGGAGAGAGGAACGGGTTGTTGTTCCCTAGTCAAGCAGTACTGATGATGACTTGGCTGCAACATAGAGTGCATCCATGGGACAACTTGGGTGGGTGTAGGAACTGGTTGGATAGGAATAGGAAGTGCCATAAGACGGCGCTGTTGCTCTGCTGGCTGTTCTTGCAGCCACATATGATGACTTGCCATTTCAGGAGGGAGATTTGAAGATGTCCAGTTCTGATAATGAACGCCAAAAGAGGTTGGAGCTGATGGAAACGGACTTCTGAAGGTTGTAGATGCAGGTAACCTATGATGCCCTCTTTGCTGAATACTTTGAGAGGAATTACTTGGCTCTGCTGGGTTAAGGCTAGCAAGAAATCGAGCAACAACTACTTGTTCCTGCTCTTCATGACCTCCGGAAATAGTGGTAGAAGAAGTTGAGCCGCATTGAGACACTGCATAAACAAATATGAATAAATTCAAGATAAAGGCAGGGTAGATTAAAGATAATGGATCCACAATATGTTTTGTAAAATAAATGCCTATCCAATTATTAAAAAAATTATACACTTCCATAGATCTATAAAAGAATAAATCATAAAAATGGTGTAAGGATTGCCACCTTTTCCAACAATAGAACGCCTATCTAATTTTCCTTCAAAGGTTGAACTAAGGACAAAATTATAAGGTAGAAGGGAATCATTCTCACTTTCCATCTCTCTCAATTCCCAAAAAAATTAATGAAACACCAATGTGTGGTTATGCAGAAATTGATTATTACTGCAGGTTTGATTGTGGAAGATAAGTTGTTGATTAGCTATACTTCAAGTCAGAATATGACCCTCTTTTGGACTGAAACAGTTCTGTATATATCTCTTAACTTGTTCTTCGTACCACATTTTTTTGCTGTCGAGGCTTCTCTTTACCTTACCAATGAATTGATTATCACAGTAAGATATAAAAAAAACACTAGTGATGAATGCCTTCTCATTACCTTACTAATGAATGACTATCACAATAAAAGAAAACTAGCACAACTTCTAACAGTTTCAACTATAAGAAATAGGAAATATCATTAAGCAAACTATAGAGTAGAGGAATGTACTAAAGGTTGCTTGTGGACAACTTTAACTTGCAGATCAAAGCATTTATAGTCTACACAAATGCATTCCAGTCCCACAACAAGGTTTGAGGCTGTTCCTCTCAGGTTGCCTAGCCTCTTCTCTACCTCGCATTTCTAGCTATAGACAGGATCACAGGAACAGTGGAAATCTCATCAATCAGGAAGTGTAAATCACGCTAATGCATACACTGAATTCCTGATACACATGCATCAACAATTACTCCCAATTCTAGATACCTTAATATAGTAACAAACTCACAATTACTCCCCTTTCTTTACCTGTGCTTCGTCGAAATTTGTTACATTGAAATAAAAAGCACAGGTTACTAGAATCTGAGCTATTTGCCTAGTATGAAGCTGTTTACCCTGTCTAATACACCTTGTGCTTCTTGGATACAACCCGTATGTGGACACTAGGGCAGGATTTAATTTATACTTTTAACTTTTTCACTACTGTGAAAATGGAGTTGCTTTGCACAATTATTTACAAATATAAAATCAGAAAAGCCTCTCTGTAGGGATACTGAATTATTCAGCATAAACTTTCATTAGCATGATAGTCAGCACATTTTTTATCTTTTAATTGAGCTGAATTCATTCAACATAAATCAATTTAAAAGTAGCTTAGATGTATTCAGGAAAATCAATATACGTACATAATACATCTCTCTCTCTCTCTCTCTTCCCCAAATGATTTTGGGACTAAGGCTTTGTTGTTGTATTTTTTATATTTTTATTTATTTATTTAATTTTTTCTTTTGAAATGGCATGATACATCTCTTTTAATAGTTACCTAGAAGTATTCAAACAATTTCTGCTGTGAATCTATTCCAAACAACCTCTCATTTATGCATTCTCTCCATTATGCATTTAGACATCTTCAAAGTCACATTTCTTGCACTAGGAGACGAGTGTGCCACATGTTCCGATCCTTACCAATGACAACATGGCAGAACAAACTGAATAACAATGCTCTCAAAACAGAACAGATTCCCCATAACAAACAAAATGCTTTTCTTGTCCTCTATTATATGGTGAAAGGCTATGTTAACTTGGATACAAAGATCAGAAATGTGTATGGATCAAAGGTCATAAGCCTATTCTTGCAGCATTTTATCTATTAATTTGAACTTTGACGCTTCCAACTTCTTTACCCTATCTCAGGGCACTAGTGGAGGCGATATCAGATATGCATGTTTATTAAAGTGCGGATGCTAACATAATTGCTAGTGATTCACATCTCAGCAAAAGTTACTAGGAAAGAAATAGTGAAAAACATAGTTAAACGACTTAACCAATAGGATTTTATGTAATGAATGATTAAGTAATGACCAAATGCAAGGAATTCAGAACAAGAAGGAATTCATACACACTTTGTTTCAAGGCAGACCATGCAGCAATAGCTGCATTTTTCTGAGCTTGTTTCTTGGTTTTAGCTGGCTCTCCTACGAAAGTCATTCCTGCCAACTCTACTGTGCATGAGAAAACAGGAACATGTCCTGGCCCCGAACGAATAGTGGTGTAGGCAGGGAGGTTTAGGCCAGCTCTATGAGCTGTCTCTTGAAGCAAGTTCTTATAAACTCCAGTTTCATCCTGTTAAAGAATAATAAAACATGTCTTCAAGTCTACAACATACTTGCACAAATCACTGAGTGCAACTGAAAATAACTGTCAGCAGGAGCCTGATAATGTGCAGACAAGCAAGACCTTTAGAAAAATTTTCAGCCGATACTCTGCAGCTGACATGTTGGCATGTTGCCCAAGGAATATGACATGCCACTGACTCTACCTTTATATTTTACATTTAATTATATTAAAGCCTGTTCTTCAATACATAAAATCATATGAATGGCTGTCACAAAAGTTATAATAAAAGAAAATTATCCAGCGGCAAACTACAAGGGAGATAAATTATCCAGCAGTGAACTACAAGGGAGATAGTCTATTAAAAGAAAATAATACATATCTTACACGAGAGACACTATTACACAAGAATTTTGAAGTCAAGAATATATCTCCGATGCAATATTTGGAGAAGAAGGAATGAACTGATGAAAGGAATCAAAGAAGTCAATCAAGGTAAAAAGCCATAAAACATGGGTACTTACCAAAACTTTAGCGGCAAGTGTTTTTGATGGACCTCTATCTGCCAGTGTGTTTAAAGCTACTTCTGCAGCTGCATGCTCAGCCTGCCTTAGAGTAGAGAAGAAGGCTGGGCTATCAAATATCTCTCCGTTGAAGTTAACAGAAGCCTTGAAACGTGGGGCATGATCTGGTCCTTCACGGATACAGGCATAAGATGGCAGGTTGAAACAGCTACGCTGAGCTAACTCTTGCAATTGATTCTTATACATAACTAGATCTGGAGCTGTGGAAATACAAATAATCTCTATTCAATGAGCATAGTGTCACACATTACAGCCAAAAATCTCATATGGGCTATACTGATAGCTGAATTAAAGAAGAACCAAAATGGAGAAGGACTCAAAAAAGGTAATTGAAGGCCCATGACAGTAGCTCCAGACAAACAACTAAGAACTAAGCTAGACCAAAATAGGAATAGATGCCCTCAAAATAAACCTAATGTCGTTTCCCCAATAATAATGGTCAACAAAACTTGGGGGCGAGGGAAATCAATACAAAGTTTCATTTAAGAGACAAAATTCTTCATGATTTCCTTTAATGGCATTTTCCCCATCAGAGAATGATTGATCAACCCTTAGAATTGGAAATTCTCATCAGAGAGGTAGAGGAGAAAGAGCCTTACATGATATAGATTTGATGGTCTTTTCTCCCTCAATTTGTTTTTTTCCTTAATGCAAGTTTCTCTGTATCCCTCTCATGAGATTGAAAACTATAAGGATTAACCAAAAATCATCCCCTCATATTACTCACACACATACCTAACCAAAACTATCAACAAACACCCCTGGGATAGATTTCATGTAAACATCTGGGAGTTTTTTCAACCATATAGCATTTACTCCTAATATTCTAATTAAACAACAGAAGCTTATACTTTCTCCAATAGGATACTCCATAAACCCTACAAGTATCTGTCTTCTTTGTTCAACCAGCCATAGGAGGGTTACATTCAGTATCCAACCGCGAATTCCATGTACAACTGAACTCAGGACGAGCCACTAATACGACATCAAGAACCACCAGAATTTCATTACATGTTATTTGCAAACTTCATCTCAGATATTCCAATAACACAAATAACAATCACCACCGCCCAAATAAATAACACAAACAGCAATGAAACAGCTCCAGCCTCCAGCAAACAGCATGAGCAGTACATTCCATAAGCAGCTCTCCATTTCTACCCCTTATTTCAATCTCATCATATTATTATAGCTAAGAAATCAAATATACTTTCTTCATTTTAATACTCAGAAAAATTAATCAAACAAGTAAAATCAGCAACATTTTAAACCAAAACTAAGACAATCAACTTATATAATATAAACACAGTAATTGAATGCTCATCATCAATGACTAAAACCCACAAAAAATAACCATCATTGAAACTCTTAATCAAACCAAACACATTAATAATCACCCATATTGTTCATATTAAGAAGAAAAAAAAAAAACCAATCTTTAAACCCAACATTAATCAGATCAATCAATACAGAAACCAACAGAGAATTCTAAAACAAACCCAGAAACCAAATTAGCAAAGACAAGAAGGGTTACCTTCAAATTATTGAAATTCCTGATTAAGACTGAATTGGATTATAAAAAAGCCGGCAATATGAAGCTAAATAGAATAAAAAGGAGATTAACCCAGAAATCAAAATTAAATTTCAGCTGGAGGTTGTTGAAAGTGTACGTCATTCTATTTGTAAGCCCATCACTCGTTCACTCTCACATTTTTCACTTTCGTATCAAATTTCACAAAGCAGCATACACTCACTCTTACTTTTGGAACTTCTGATAGCAACATCTACTTTGTTTTGGGGCTTTTCTTTTAGGAAAAATTGCCCGCAATAATCCCACCTTTGGGCCATCCGCTAATAATAATCCGACCTTTGGATTATTTTTAAATAATCCCACCTTTATACCTCTTCCGCTTTAAATGGTCCTAACCGGTCACATAACTTGTTATTACAAGTTACTAGACACGTGTCAGTCTATGATTGGTAAAAAAATAAAATTAAAAAAAAAAACCAGAATTTTTGTTAAAAAAAAAAAAAAAAAACTGAAACCAGATTCCGGCAGCCCCACCTCCCCTACCCAATTCCGGCCACCATCTCCCTTCCCCTCCCCGATTCCGTCCACCCCCTCCCTCTCCCTCCCCTCTCCCTCCCCGATTCCGTCCACCCCCTCCCTTTCCCTCCCCGATTCCGACCACCCCTCCCCTCTCCCTCCCCGATTCCGACCACCCCCTCCCTCTCCCTCCCCGTTTCCGACCAGCCCTCCCCTCTCCCTCCCCGATTCCGTCTCCCTCCCCCTCTCCCTCCCTGATTCCGTTTCCGACCAGCCCTCCCCACTCCCTCCCCGATTCCGACCACCCCCTCCCTCTCCCTCCCCGATTCCGACCACCCCCTCCCTCTCCCTCACACCGTTGCAAATCCACCACGCACAAACCCACAACAACCTACCCAATTCCGGCTAAACAAGTGGTTTCGGTGGGCTAAAAGTGGGTAGAGGAGCTGGTTTTGGTGGGTGAGCTAGGTTAGGCGAGGTGGTTTCGGTGGTGGGACTGCTGGAGACGGTGGTTGTGGGTTTTTTTTATTTTTTATTTTTTTTTTCAATAATTTTTTTATTAATTTTTTAACCAACTATGTGGTGACACATGCCCAAACAATTCCAAATTATAAATGGTAACTTGTTTAGCCGGTTTCAACTCACTTGGGACCATTGGGAGCGGGAGAGGTATAAAGGTCGGGTTATTAAAAAATAATCGATAGGTGGGATTATTTTGAGCGGATGAGGCAAAGGTGGGATTATTCCGGACAATTTTTCCTTTCTTTTATTTGCCCCTTCTATTTTTCGAGGTCTTTCTCCTTTTTTTTCCCTTGAATTTCTACTCTCAGGAATTAGATTATACCTGTATACATTAGGGTAACGGAATGATGGAATTTATCATGCACATTGTCTAAAAAAATACTCTCTCCGCCCACAATTATCTGCAACATTTGCCATAAATGAGTGCTCTCTATTATGCGCAACAATTTTTTATCTTTCCTCTTTTAGTAAATTTTAAAGTGTAAAAAGATTATCTTACCAAACTTAAACATATGAGACCACTTTCTCTCTCCTATTTCCCACTCACTTTAACCCACTAACAAACTAAAACATATGGGATCACTTTCTCTCTCTTATTTCCCTCATTTTTACAACTTAATTAAACCCACCTAAACTTAATTAAACTACATTAAAAGTTTTGCCTAGGAGTCCGTAAAAAGGACGTTTGGTGCAGATAATCGTGGGCGGAGGGAGTAGTAGGTTTTTTTTTTTTTTTTAAGATTCAAATTTCAGGAAGAAAGAAAATGCAATTTAAGGTAGGTAAATACTTCATCTGTTTTCTTTTACTTGCAACACTTTCCTAAAAAAGAAATGTCACAATACTTGCAACACATTATAAAAGGAAAGTTACTTTAGTGAAAAACTATACTATTTCTCTTATTTAAAGCACATGACCCACTATTACACTCCTAACAACCACTCATTCAATTTTAAAACTTATTATATCATGTAAACCCTACCTTTCTTAATTACTGCGCTAAAGGGTGTGTTGTATCTAAGACCATCATCACTCATGGTATTAAAATTTATACCACCCTTCTCTCTACCACTTTCTCACTCCTTCACATCATCTGTACCACAATACAATATACTTTCTCCAAAAATTCACTCCCACCCATGGTATAAAAAAAGTTTACCAACACACTTTTTCTCTCCTATATGTATGAATTATACACTTAATTAAATTATAATTATATTTTGTTTTATGTTGAAAATAACTAATTACTATTTATAAAGTTAATTAAATAAAAATAAGCAATTTAGGTAGAAAAAAGTGAATTTCAAAAATATATAAAACTATATCAATATGGATGTCTATGTGTATGTCTTGAAAAATTATGAACAATGGTAATTTTTTCATAATTTTTGACTTTATAACTTTTTCTTAAAATGCAATTGAAAAAAAAATAAATAAAAGATCTATGACAACCAGGCCACATGGCATGACCTGGTTGGTTCATGTTTCATGTGGAACGAAGCAAAAGTTTACCCTGGGATGGTATATACCATTTGATGGTATAGTTTTATGCCACCAAGGTAGTAAAAATTTGCAACTTTTGGATGAATATTTGCACCGTGGTATAAAATTATACCACGAGTGTTGATGCTCTAAAGGAAAACGGAGGAAGTATAATACAAGAGAACGAAAAATCTTTTACAAATTAACACGAAGTTGCAAATTATGAAATTCAAAACGATTGTGGAGGCGTTTAGGCCGTTCCAATGGATCAAATAACAAAGTCTATAAAGAGATGAAATTGATAACCGAGAAAGGTATATTTCCATTTATTTCTAATTTTGTATACTGCGCACATTTTTCTTCTAATTTCGTGTTATAATTAGGTTAAGATGTTCATTTGATTATGATGAATGTTTTATACTTTTATTTATCATAATCTGATTCATTTTTTTAAAAAAATTTTGAAATAGAATTGAACATATTCTCTGAGTTTAAGCTATATGTTCTTTGAGTTTAAATATACTTTATGCATTTTAGGCTATGTATAGCTTGACATAAAATATTGTCGAAGTAAATTTTATTTGTTTGTTTTCTAAAAAGCTATAGAGAAATTGAAAAAAACGGATAGAAATGTGAGAATGGATGAGATGAATGTAAAAAGGAGGTAACGAGGAGAGTGGAAATCTTGGTTTTCCTTGTTTTGTAAAGGGAAATATTAACGTTATTGAGAGAGTAATTTCAACCATCTATAATATTATCAAAACCCAAGGGAACAACATGGTCACGCCATGTGTCACCCTTCCCACAACATGACTAGGCGACACATGTGTGTGAGGTGGCATCCTACGTGTCACGTCTTTCTACAATATAAATTGATTCCATCGGCATTAATTAAAACTCTATAACTTTAATTTATAAAAAAAAAACTCTTCATATGTATAACTTCCAAATTTAATTCTATAACTTTAATTCTCTACAATAATGTTTAATTTTCATCAAAAACTCTTCATATGCATAATCTCCAAATTTAAATTTGACATGCTTATTTTAAATATATATTAATGAAAGATCATGTAGATAATTACTCCGTATATATTTCACTTACTTATTAATAATCCGTATTGTTTAACATTAATCTTTTTTTATTAATTTTGATCAAATTTAATTATAAATTTACGAATTATCGGGGCATCGCCCTGGCCAATAACTAGTTAGAAAAATTATTTTCCATCATTTCACAAACGAAACAATGGAAATGAGAAAACAATTTACGTAGTACATCAAACGACAACCTTAATGTTTGTCCAACTTCCTTTTTAGTCTGTCCCTTAATGTTTGTTTCATACTACTTTTGGTTGTAGGGGACTACAACTTTACACTCGCAAGAGTCACTACTATTACGTTTAAATTCACCATTTTCCCTTTCGCCAATCCCTTTCAAGTTTCAACTAAATATTTTTTTTTTTTTTAAAAAAAATCCCTTGTCAGACCTTATCGAGCAAACAAAGGGCAAGAGTGGATCGATCTATTATGTACACTTGGGGTCATTTTCTCATTCAATCAACAGTTGTCAAGTTTTCAAATGCGTTCAGATGAAAATCATACCTACGATTACAACAAATCGTTAGACTGTCTCTCCGAAAAGGCTGTATATTCCAGCGATGTGTTCGAGAGATATACTACAGTGCAAGATTGTAATCCCCCGTATTTTTAAATATATTATAAATGGAATTATATTTTATTTATGATATTTATTTGTATTTTTTCCGGAATTTAATTTCAAAAGTTTCAATTTTTAATTTGGGTCGAAAATTATTTTGGTACAAATTATTATATGTACCTTCATTCTATAATTCATGTCCAAACAATCAAAGTCAACCTCACTTTACTTACTTAATTGGCCCATTAATTTTATGAGGCCCAATCTTACTTCTTACCCTACACCACACTCTCTCCTATAAATACCTCATACATCCCAAAATTTTTCCCACCCAAAGGTTAGTCTTATTTTCATTCTCCTTATTTTATTTACTTATTTTTCCTTAATTTTTTTTCCTTTTTTTTCCTTGCCCAACCACCTCTGGCGCACACCCGCCTCCCTGTCACCACCCCTCTGCTCGCTGACGGCTCACCATGGCTGCCCCCTTTCCCTCCTCCTTTTTTTGTTTTTGTTTTTTTTTGGCTTAATCTTCATATATTTAATTAGTTTTGGGTTTTGATTTGTTTTTAGTATAAAGATTATATTTTTAGTATCAAATTCGTGTTTTTGATAGCTTAAATTTATATTTTTAGATTATATAATGTTGTTTAATTTTCAGATTTTATAATTTTAAAACCTAGGGTTTTAATTGATTTAAATTGGGATTTAAGGGTTCTTATGATCAATTAATTTGGAGCTTTTGTTCCTATTGCATTTCTAATGATTAATTAAGCATAAAAACATGTTTTTGGATGAAGTTTTAAAGAGTTTTAATCAAAGTTATATGGCTGAAAATTTGTTTAAGTATTAATTTGTGATCATTGGTTGTTTTCTAGGAGGTGATTATTCCCTAGGAGACTTTTAATTGATTAAAAGTGGCACAAAAGATTGTTTACACGAGGTACGTACATGTCTACTTTGTTGTAAGTAGTATCATGTTTAGGTACCAAAAGAAAAGAACTTAGTTTCATGTTTAGGGAACACTTGTATGGAAATTGTTTGGTTATACATTGAATTAATTCATGTGCTTATGTTTATGAGACATGTTTTGGTGAATTAATTGTATTCGTATGGAATTATGGATGCAAGCATGTTGAATTATGTAGGATTAAATGTTTGTATGGATTGTTGATACAAGCATATTTTTATTGGATTGATTTGTTAACCACATTTGGATTATTATAAGATTGGAATTGAATGGTTTGAGTGGAATGTATTTATTAATTATTCCACAAGGTTGTTATTTATTTATTTATTTATTTATTTATTTATTTATTACTCAATCATGACTTGTTAGTTAATTGAGTAAAGGTGGATTAAGCCGAAATGGCTAGGTGAGTTGACTATGTTCAACAATTTTTGATAATTTGGAAGTTTAATGGAATTAAAGGTC